CCTGTCTCCCCTCCCTGTCTCCCCCCTGTCTCCCTACCCTGTCTCCCCTCCCTGTCTCCCCTCCTGTCTCCCCTCCCTGTCTCCCCTCCCTGTCTCCCCTCCCTGTCTCCCCTCCCTGTCTCCCCTCCCTGTCTCCCTCCCTGTCTCCCCTCCCTGTCTCCCCTCCCGTGTCTCCCCTCCTGTCTCCCCTCCCTGTCTCCCCTCCCTGTCTCCCCTCCCTGTCTCCCCTCCTGTCTCCCCTCCCTGTCTCCCCTCCTTGTCTCCCCTCCGTGTCTCCCCTCCCTGTCTCCCCTCCGTGTCTCCCCTCCCTGTCTCCCCTCCCTGTCTCCCCTCCCTGTCTCCCCTCCTGTCCTCGACCCCCTCCCTGTTCCTCCCTCCCTCCCTGTTCCCTCCCCTCCCTGTCTCCCCTCCGTGTCTCCCCTCCCTGTCTCCCCTCCCTGTCTCCCCTCCCTGTCTCCCCTCCCTGTCTCCCCTCCCTGTCTCCCCTTTCCCTGGTTCTCCCTCCTTGTCTCCCCTCCCTGTCTCCCCTCCCTGTCTCCCCCGTGTCTCCCTCTGTCTCCCCTGTCCTCTGTTGTTCTTGTCTCCCTCTGTCTCCATCCGTGTTCCCTCCCTGTCTCCCCTCCCTGTCTCCCCTCCCTGTCTCCCCTCCGGGTCTCCCCTCCTGTCTCCCCTTCCCTGTTCTCCCTCCGTTGTCTCCCCCTGTCCCCTCCTGTCTCCCCTCCCTGTCTCCCCTCCCTGTCTCCCCTCCCTGTCTCCCCTCCCTGTCTCCCCTCCCCTCCCAGCCGGACAGACCACCCCCATCTCTCCCACAGTAAGAAAGTTCACTTAAATCTAATAAACTTCTTAGATATAGTGAATTGTCTGAGTTTTTAATACCTTAGTGTTAACGGTCGCCTTAATTTTCCACAGTAGTCTCTGATGTGGGACTCTATTAAAAGCCTTACTGAAGTTCATATACACATATTTATTACCATGATCCACCTCCTCAAATACCTTGGTGAAAAAAGTTAATAAATTCGTAAGGCAAGAATGCCCTTTTGTAAAACCATGCTGAGAGTCGTTGATTAATTTATGCATTTTAAGATGGCTACGAATTGCCTCGGCAGTTACTGATTCCATAAATTTTCCCACTATGGAGGTTAGGCTTCTTGGTCTGTAGTTCGAAGCTAAGGACCTGTCACCTGCTTTAAAAATAGATAATATATTTGCCATTTTCTACTTATCTGGCACTATGCCAGTTTGTAGTGATATGTTAAAAAGATTAGCTGAAGGTTTGCTAAGCTCCTCTTTATGTTCCTTTAGAACCCTTGCATACAGTTCATCAGGACCTGGAGATTTGTTAGGTTTTAATTTATTTATTTGTCTAAGGACCATGTCACTTGTGACCTTAATCGTGTATAGTTTATCATCGTCCTGTTCTACATAATTTATTATTTCTGGAATATCACTAGTATCTTCCTGTGTAAAAACTGAGAGGAAGTGTTAAAAATTCTACACATTTCCTTATCACTGTCGGTGAGCTGACCTGAACAACTTTTGCGTAGGCCTATCTTGTCCCTAATGTTGATTCTGTATACTTGAAATAATCCTTTTGAGTTAGTCTACTAGCGTGGTGTGGGTGACACGTCGTCTACTAGCGTGGTGTGGGTGACACGTCGTCTACTAGCGTGGTGTGGGTGACACGTCGTCTACTAGCGTGGTGTGGGTGACACGTCGTTTACTAGCGTGGTGTGGGTGACACGTCGTCTACTAGCGTGGTGTGGGTGATACGTCGTCTACTAGCGTGGTGTGGGTGACATGTCGTCTACTAGCGTGGTGTGGGTGACACGTCGTCTACTAGCGTGGTGTGGGTGACACGTCGTCTACTAGCGTGGTGTGGGTGACACGTCGTCTACTAGCGTGGTGTGGGTGACACGTCGTCTACTAGCGTGGTGTGGGTGACACGTCGTCTACTAGCGTGGTGTGGGTGACACGTCGTCTACTAGCGTGGTGTGGGTGACACGTCGTCTACTAGCGTGGTGTGGGTGACACGTCGTCTACTAGCGTGGTGTGGGTGACACGTCGTCTACTAGCGTGGTGTGGGTGACACGTCGTCTACTAGCGTGGTGTGGGTGACACGTCGTCTACTAGCGTGGTGTGGGTGACACGTCGTCTACTAGCGTGGTGTGGGTGACATGTCGTCTACTAGCGTGGTGTGGGTGACACTCGTTACTAGCGTGGTGGGGTGACACGTCGTCTACTAGCGTGGTGTGGGTGACATGTCGTCTACTAGCGTGGTGTGGGTGACACGTCGTCTACTAGCGTGGTGTGGGTGACACGTCGTCTACTAGCGTGGTGTGGGTGACACGTCGTCTACTAGCGTGGTGTGGGTGACACGTCGTCTACTAGCGTGGTGTGGGTGACACGTCGTCTACTAGCGTGGTGTGGGTGACACGTCGTAATAATGATACTTATTTTGTTAGAGATGTTTTTTTCTTCCACTAAGTAGGTGCCTAGCTCCTCTTTTGTACATAGGTTCCATTAGGTAGGTACCTAGCTCATGTTTTCTAGATATGTATAGATAGGTGGTGGACACGGTTCCTGGACATGTCTCATACTCACGTGTCCAGTACTCTGGACACGGTACCTGGACATGTCTGATACTCGTGTCCAGTAACTCTGGACACGGTACCTGGACATGTCTGATACTCGTGTCCAGTGACTCTGGCACGGTACCTGGACATGTCTCATACTCACGTGTACAGTAACTCTGGACACGGTACCTGGACATGTCTGATACTCGTGTCCAGTGACTCTGGCACGGTACCTGGACATGTCTCATACTCACGTGTACAGTAACTCTGGACACGGTACCTGGACATGTCTGATACTCGTGTCCAGTGACTCTGGCACGGTACCTGGACATGTCTCATACTCACGTGTACAGTAACTCTGGACACGGTACCTGGACATGTCTGATACTCATTGTCCAGTGTAGGCGTAGCCTGAGAGTGTGGGTGTAGCGTCAGTGTAGGTGTAGCCTCAGTGTGGGTGTAGTATTCCTGTGTGGGTGTAGTATACCTGTGTGGGTGTAGTATACTTGTGTGGGTGTAGTATACCTGTGTGGGTGTACTGTAGTGTGAATAACCTCTCGCACAGTTAATGCTGCTACACTACCCTTCCCTCCCCTCCCCTCCCCTACCCCCTCCCCACCCCCTCCCCTACCTACCCCTACCCTACCCCCTCCACTCCCCTACCCTCCCCTCCCTCCCCTACCCTACCCTCCCCTACCCCCCTCCCCACCCTCCCCCCCTCCTCTACCCTCCCCTACCCTTCCCCACTCCCCTACCCTACCCTCCCCTCCCCTACCCCACTCCCCTCCCCTACCCCACTCCCCTCCCCTACCCTCCCCTCCCCTCCCCTAGCCTTCCCTCCCTCTGCCCTTCTACACATCCCTCCTCACCCTCTTCGCCTCCTCCTCCCCCTCCCCTTCTCCTCACCCATCACCCTCCAGTCACCCATCACCCTCACCCTCTTCGCCTCCTCCTCCCCCTCCCCTTCTCCTCACCCATCACCCTCCAGTCACCCATCACCCTCACCCCACCCATCACCCTCCCCTCCTCCTCACCCTCTTCGCCTCCTCCTCCCCCTCCCCTTTTCCTCAACCATCACCCTCCAGTCACCCATCACCCTCACCCCACCCATCACCCTCACCTCACCCATCACCCTTCCCCTCACCCACCACCCTCCCCCTCACCCCTTACCCCTCTCCCATTACCCTCCCCTCACCCTCTGTCTCTCTTCCCCTTCCTCCCTCCCTCCCTCCCTTCAGAACGGTGCTTAATGCTAAATAAGCATTCTTGATCCACTGACTTGAGAACCCTACCCAACTCTCCCTTGATATTTACTCCTGGAACGCAGGCGGAAAGTTACTCATATTTACAAAACCTGTTGAAAAACGTAGGGGGACTAGTCCGCCTGTCCGCACAAAATTCACTTTTTACGAATCAGACCTGGGGCTCAAGACCTGATCAGCTGCCTCCTGCATATCATTAAGGGGCCGATTACTAATAGACCCCTGGCGGCAATCAAGACCCCTGGCTGTCTTCAAGACCCCTGACTGTCTTCAAGACCCCTGGCTGTCTTCAAGACCCCTGGCTGTCTTCAAGACCCCTGGCTGCCTTCAAGACCCCTGGCTGTCTTCAAGACCCCTGGCTACCTTCAAGACCCCTGGCTGTCTTCAAGACCCCTGGCTGTCTTCAAGACCCCTGACTGTCAAGACCCCTGGCTGTCTTCAAGACCCCTGGCTGTCTTCAAGACCCCTGGCTGCCTTCAAGACCCCTGGCTATCTTCAAGAAACCTGGCTGTCTTCAAGACCCCTGGCTGTCTTCAAGAAGGCGCTGGACAGGCATCTATAATCAGTACCTGATCAGCCGGGCTGTTGTTCGTACGTTGGTTTTGCGTGCAGCTAGCAGTAACAGCCTGGTTGATCAGACCCTGAGCCACCATGAGGCCTGGTCTCAGAACGGGCCGCGGGGGCATTGACCCCCAGAACATCTTACTGGTAGTAGTGGTGGTAGGCTGGACCGGTAGTATTGGTAGCACTGGTGGTACACCGGCCTGGTAGTAGGCTGGGCTGGTAGTATGTCGGGCTGACAGTAGTTAGGGCTCGTAGTAGGTCGGGCGGGTAGTAGGCTGGGCTGCAAGGTCAGGCTGGTATGTCGGGCTTGTATGTCGGTTTGGTAGTAGGTCGGGCTGGTAGCAGGTTGTGCTGGTAGGTCGGGCTGGTAGTAGGTCGGGCAGGTAGTAGGTTGTGCTGGCAGGAGGTCGGGCTGGTAGTAGGTCGGGCAGGTAGTAGGTCGGGCTGGCAGTAGGTCGGGCTGGTAGTAGGTCGGGCTGGTAGTAGGTCGGGCAGGTAGTAGGTCGGGCTGGCAGTAGTTAGGGCTGGTAGTAGGTCGGGCTGGGGGTAGGTTGGGCTGGCAGGTCGGGCTGGTAGTAGGATTGACTGGTACTAGGTCAGGATGGCTGCAGGTTGGGTTGGCAGTAGGTCGGGCTGGTAGTAGGTTGTGCTGGCAGTAGGTCGGGCTGGTAGTAGGTCGGGCAGGTAGTAGGTCGGGCTGGTAGTAGGTTGGGCTGGCAGTAGGTCGGGCTGGTAGTAGATCGGGTTGGTAGTAGGTCGGGCAGGTAGTAGGTCGGGCTGGCAGTAGGTCGGGCTGGTAGTAGATCGGGCTGGTAGTAGGTCGGGCAGGTAGTAGGTCGGGCTGGCAGTAGGTCGGGCTGGTAGTAGGTTGTGCTGGCAAGTCGGGCTGGTAGTAGGCTGGGCTGGTAGTAGGTTGGGCTGGCAGTAGATGGGGCTGGCAGTAGGTAGGGCTGGTAGTAGGTCGGGCAGGCGGTAGGCCGGCCTGGCAGTAGGTCGGGCTGGTAGTGGGTCGGGCTTGCAGTAGGTCGGGCAGGTAGTAGGTCGGGCAGGCAGTAGGTCGGGCTAGTAGTAGGTCGGGCTGGTAGTAGGTCGGGTTGGTAGTAGGTCAGGCTGGTAGTAGGTTGGGCTGGCAGTAGGTCGGGCTGATAGGTAGGGCTGGTAGTAGGTCGGGCAGGCAGTAGGTCGGGCAGGTAGTAGGTCGGGCAGGCAGAAGGTCGGGCTAGTAGTAGGTCGGGCTGGTAGTAGGTCGGGTTGGTAGTAGGTCGGGCTGGCAGTAGGTCGGGCAGGTAGTAGTAGGGAGGTCGGGCTAGTAGTAGGTCGGGCTGGTAGTAGGTCGGGTTGGTAGTAGGTCGGGCTGGCAGTAGGTCGGGCAGGTAGTAGGTCGGGTTGGTAGTAGGTCAGGCTGGTAGTAGGTTGGGCTTGCAGTAGGTTGGGCTGGTAGTAGGTCGGGCAGGTAGGAGGTCGGGTTGGTAGTAGGTCAGGCTGGTAGTAGGTTGGGCTGGCAGTAGGTCGGGCTGGTAGTAGGTCGGACAGGTAGTAGGTCGGGCAGGTAGTAGGTTGGTTTGGTAGTAGGTAGGGCTGGTAGTAGGTCGGGCAGGCGGTAGGCCGGCCTGGCAGTAGGTCGGGCTGGTAGTGGGTCGGGCTGGCAGTAGGTCGGGCAGGTAGTAGGTCGGGCAGGCAGTAGGTCGGGTTAGTAGTAGGTCGGGCTAGTAGTAGGTCGGGCTGGTAGTAGGTCAGGCTGGTAGTAGGGTGGGCTGGCAGTAGGTCGGGCTGATAGGTAGGGCTGGTAGTAGGTCGGGCAGGCAGTAGGCCGGCCTGGCAGTAGGTCGGGCAGGTAGTAGGTCGGGCAGGCAGTAGGTCGGGCTAGTAGTAGGTCGGGCTGGTAGTAGGTCGGGTGGTTGGTAGGGTAGGTCGGGCTGGCAGTAGGTCGGGCAGGTAGTAGGTCTGGTTGGTAGTAGGTCAGGCTGGTAGTAGGTTGGGCTGGCAGTAGGTCGGGCTGGTAGTAGGTCGGGCAGGTAGTAGGTCGGGTTGGTAGCAGGTCAGGCTGGTAATAGGTCGGGCAGGTAGTAGGTCGGGCAGGTAGTAGGTCGGGCTGGTAGTAGGTCGGGTTGGTAGTAGGTCAGGCAGGTAGTAGGTCGGGTTGGTAGTAGGTCAGGCTGGTAGTAGGTTGGGCTGGCAGTAGGCTGGGCTGGTAGTAGGTCGGGCAGGTAGTAGCTCGGGTTGGTAGTAGGTCAGGCTGGTAGTAGGTCGGGCAGGTAGTAGGTCGGGCAGGTAGTAGGTCGGGCAGGTAGTAGGTCGGGCTGGTAGTAGGTCGGGTTGGTAGTAGGTCAGGCTGGTAGTAGGTTGGGCTGGCAGTAGGTCAGGCTGGTAGTAGGTCGGGCAGGTAGTAGGTCGGGCTGGTAGTAGGTTGTGCTGGCAAGTCGGGCTGGTAGTAGGCTGGGCTGGTATTAGGTTGGGCTGGTAGTAGATCGGGCTGGCAGTAGGTCGGGCTGATAGGTAGGGCTGGTAGTAGGTCGGGCAGGCAGTAGGCCGGTCTGGCAGTAGGTCGGGCTGGTAGTAGGTCGGGCTGGCAGTAGGTCGGGCAGGTAGTAGGGCGGGCAGGCAGTAGATCGGGCTAGTAGTAGGTCGGGTTGGTAGTAGGTCAGGCTGGTAGTAGGTTGGGCTGGCAGTAGGTCGGGCTGATAGGTAGGGCTGGTAGTAGGTCGGGCAGGCAGTAGGCCGGCCTGGCAGTAGGTCGGGCAGGTAGTAGGTCGGGCAGGCAGTAGGTCGGGCAGGCAGTAGGTCGGACAGGTAGTAGGTCGGGTTGGTAGTAGGTCAGGCTGGTAGTAGGTCGGGCAGGTAGTAGGTCGGGCAGGTAGTAGGTCGGGCAGGTAGTAGGTCGGGCAGGTAGTAGGTCGGGATGGTAGTAGGTCAGGTTAGTAGGTCGGGCAGGTAGTAGGTCGGGCAGGTAGTAGGTCGGGCAGGTAGTAGGTCGGGCAGGTAGTAGGTCGGGTTGGTAGTAGGTCAGGCTGGTAGTAGGTCGGGCATGTAGTAGGTCGGGCAGGTAGTAGGTCGGGCAGGTAGTAGGTCGGGTTGGTAGTAGGGCAGGCTGGTAGTAGGTGGGAGGTAGTAGGTCGGCAGGTAGTAGGTCGGGCAGGTAGTAGGTCGGGCAGGTAGTAGGTCGGGTTGGTAGTAGGTCAGGCTGGTAGTAGGTCGGGCAGGTAGTAGGTCGGGCAGGTAGTAGGTCGGTAGGTAGTAGGTCGGGGAGGTAGTAGGTCGGGCAGGTAGTAGGTCGGGCAGGTAGTAGGTCGGGCAGGTAGTAGGTCGGGCAGGTAGTAGGTCGGGCAGGTAGTAGGTCGGGCAGGTAGTAGGTCGGGCAGGTAGTAGGTGGGCTGGTAGTCGGGCAGGTAGTAGGTCGGGCAGGTAGTAGGTCGGGCAGGTAGTAGGTCAGGCTGGTAGTAGGTCGGGCAGGTAGTAGGTCGGGCAGGTAGTAGGTCGGGCAGGTAGTAGGTCGGGCAGGTAGTAGGTCGGGCAGGTAGTAGGTCGGCAGTAGTAGGTCGGGCAGGTAGTAGGTCGGGCAGGTAGTAGGTCGGGCAGGTAGTAGGTCGGGCAGGTAGTAGGTCGGCAGGGTAGTAGGTCGGGCATGTAGTAGGTCGGGCAGGTAGTAGGTCGGGCAGGTAGTAGGTCGGGCGGAGTAGGTCGGGCAGGTAGTAGGTCGGGCAGGTAGTAGGTCGGGCAGGTAGTAGGTCGGGCAGGTAGTAGGTCGGGCAGGTAGTAGGTCGGGCAGGTAGTAGGTCGGGCAGGTAGTAGGTCGGGCAGGTAGTAGGTCGGGCTAGGTAGTAGGTCGGGCAGGTAGTAGGTCGGGCAGGTAGTAGGTCGGGCAGGTAGTAGGTCGGGCTGGTAGTAGGTCGGGCATGTCAGTAGGTCGGGCAGGTAGTAGGTCGGGCAGGTAGTAGGTCGGGCAGGTAGTAGGTCGGGCAGGTAGTAGGTCGGGCAGGTAGTAGGTCGGGCAGGTAGTAGGTCGGGTTGGTAGTAGGTCGGGCAGGTAGTAGGTCGGGCAGGTAGTAGGTCGGGCAGGTAGTAGGTCGGGCAGGTAGTAGGCGGGCATGTAGTAGGTCGGGCTGGTAGTAGGTCGGGCAGGTAGTAGGTCGGGCAGGTAGTAGGTCGGGCAGGTAGTAGGTCGGGCAGGTAGTAGGTCGGGCAGGTAGTAGGTCGGGCTGGCAGTAGGCCGGCCTGGTAGTAGGTCGGGCTGGCAGTAGGTCGGCCTGGCAGTAGGTCGGGCAGGTAGTAGGTCGGGCTGGCAGTAGGCCGGCCTGGCAGTAGGTCGGGCTGGCAGTAGGCCGGCCTGGTAGTAGGTCGGGCTGGCAGTAGGCCGGCCTGGCAGTTGGTCGGGCAGGTAGTAGGTCGGGCAGGTAGTAGGTCGGGCAGGTAGTAGGCCGGCCTGGCAGTAGGCCGGCCTGGCAGTAGGCCGGCCTGGCAGTAGGCCGGCCTGGCAGTAGGTCGGCCTGGCAGTAGGTCGGGCTGGCATAGGCCTAGTGAGCCGCCTGCAGTAGGCACGCCTGGCAGTAGGTCGCCTGGCATAGGTCGGGCAGGTAGTAGTCGGGCTGGCAGTAGGCCGGCCTGGCAGTTAGGTCGGCCTTTTTGGCAGTTAGGTCAGGATCCCTGGCAGTAGGTCGGCTAGGAGTAGGTCGCTGGCTGGCAGTAGGTCGGCCTGGCAGTAGGTCGGGCAGGTAGTAGGCCGGCCTGGCAGTAGGCCGGCCTGGCAGTAGGTCGGGCTGGCCACATATTGATCACTAAAGTAAACGCACCAACTAACCTCTGTATTGAGCCACAAACCTGTGTACTACTAAGCACCCTCACCTCCTTCGCTCTTCATCTTCCCCTCATTATCTGCCCCCCCCCTTCCCATCTTAGTTCTTCATCTTCCCCTCTTTATCTGCCCCCCTTCCCGTCTTAGCTCTTCATCTTCCCCTCTTCCCGCTTCCCTTAGGGTGATGTGCTGGTGCCATGTGTTTTACTGGTGCCATGTGTTTTACTGGTGTCATGTGTTTTACTGGTGTGTTGTGTAGTATTGGTGTGTATTGTTGCTTGTGGTAAACTACAATTAGTCTTGGTACTGGTAGACCGCAGTCTTGGTACTGGTAGACGACAGTCTTGGTACTGGTAGACGACAGTCTTGAGATTGGTATACCACAGTCTTGGTACTGATGTACCACACTCTTGGTGCTGTTGTACCACACTCTTGGTGCTGGTAGACTACAGTTAGTCTTGGTACTGGCAGACTACAGTTAGTCTTGGTACTGGTAGACTTCAGTTAGTCTTGGTACTGGTAGACTACAGTTAGTCTTGGTACTGTTACAGTACAGTCTTGGCACTGGTAGACTACAGTTAGTCTTGGTACTGTTACAGTACATTCTTGGTACTGGTAGACTACAGTTAGTCTTGGTACTGGTAGACTACAGTTAGTCTTGGTACTGGTAGACTACAGTTAGCCTTGGTACTGGTACAGTACATTCTTGGTACTGGTAGACTACAGTTAGTCTTGGTACTGGTACAGTACAGTCTTGGTACTGGTAGACTACAGTTAGTCTTGGTACTGGTACAGTACAGTCTTGGTACTGGTAGACTACAG